AGCTGGCCATTCAACCCATCCTGACCCTCCAAACAGCATCCAACCCAGACCCACACTATTTTCCACAGCTAATCCAGCAAGCCTACACATCCCTGAACAATATGAACTATTTAGCACGGCCAATCGACCTAACTTGCCCAGCTTTGGACTGTGGGAGGAAACCCACGCAGACACAAGGTGAGTGTGCAAACTCCATGCAGATATATGTCCAATGGAACTCAGGAATGGAACCCAGCTCCCTGGTGCTGCAAGGCAGCAGAGCTAACCACCAAGGTACTGTGCCACTCAATGGATTTTGAAATTCTCATGGTATTCAAATACTTCCACAACTCTGGCTCCCTTGTTATCCCTAATTTCCCTCTCCACTATCTCTGGCAATACCCATACCCCTTCCATTCTAGCTTTTCCATGATCCGCAGTTTTAGCCCCCTCACCAACAGTGGTTAAGCCTGGGACCAGGCTTTCGGATTCCTTCTTTACACTTTCCTCCTATACAACACTCCTTAAAAACTGGGTGTTGAACAAACTGTTGGCCTCATTTTCGCTGACGTGGCTGAGACCATATTTCTTTTGTAACGCTCCTGCAGACCTCCTTGGAGAGTTGAGGGGCAGTAAGAAGTATCGAATTGGACATGTTTTACTTCTTCATGCATGGACTCGATGGGCTGAATTGCCTACATCTGCTCCTACATCTTATGATCTTATGATTGAAGGATGTGTGTATCTTCATTGCCCATCCCTAGTTGCCCCCCTCGAGAAGGTGGGGGTGAGCTGCCTTCTTGAACCGCTGCAGTCCACCTGCTGTGGGTTGACCCACAATGCCCTTAGGGAGGGCATTCCAGGATTCTGACCCAGTGACACTGAAGGAACGGCGATATATTTCCAAGTCAGGATGGTGATTGGCTTGGAGGGGAACTTGCAGGGGGTGGTGTTCCCATGTATCTGCTGCCCTTGTCATTCTAGATGGAAGTGATCGTGGGTTTGGAAGGCGCTGTCTGAGGATCTTTGGTGAATTTCTGCAGGGCATCTTGTAGATGGTACACACTGCTGCTACTGAGCGTCGGTGGTGGAGGGAGTGAATGTTTGTGGATGTGGTGCCAATCAAGCAGGGGCTGCTTTGTCCTGGATGGTGTCGAGCTTCTTGAGTGTTGTTGGGGCTGCCCCCATCCAGGGCAAGTGGGGAGTATTCCATCACACTCCTGACTTGTGCCTTGTAGATGGTGGGACAGGCTTTGGGGAGTCAGGAGGGGAGTTACTCGCTGCAGGATTCCCAGCCTCTGACCTGCTCTTGTAGCCACTGTGTTTATGAGGTGAGCCTATCAGTTTCTGGTCAATGTTAACCCCAGGATGCTGATGCTTCAGGCATTGCGTGTGATGGACCAGTTAGGCTTGCCTCACTGACACTTCCACAAATTTGTTTGCCAATGACTCATCTCGAAGAAAAACATAGAGAGCTGAGCAAGATGATGAAAATGAGTGTTTCATCATACTAAGGCTAATCCCCTGGGTCAGAAAGGTAGGCATTAACAGTCCAGCCATGGGGACACAGGAAGATGGTTACAGAAGTCTTCAGATAAAAGTCAAAAGCCCCTGGGCTTGAAATAAGAGAGCAATGACCTAGGATTTTTTGTGTATAAAAGCAATACCAAATAGTAACAGGTGTAGGCCATTCAGCCCCTTGAGCTATTCAGTTGGATCACGGCTGATCTGACATTTCTCAAATCCACTTTCCTGCCTTTTCCCTGTAACCCTTGATTCCTGACTAATGCAGTATCAATCTATCTCAGACTCATGCAAAAGCTCTCTGTGATAGGGAGTTCCAAAGACTCACAACCCCCTGAGAGAAGAAATTCGTCCTCATCTCAGTCTTAAGTTAGTGCTCCTTTATTCCAAGACTATACTCTGGTCTGTGACTCTCCCAGGAGGGGAAACATCTTCTCAGCATTGACCCTGTCAAGCCCCTTAAGGATCCAATATGTTTCAATGAGATCACCTCTCATTCTTCTAAACTCCAGGGAGTAGAGCCCCAACCTGTTTAACCTTTGCTCATAAGACAGTCCCTCCCACACCGGGGATCATCCTAGTGAACCATCTCTGACCTGCCTCCAATGAAATATCTTTCCTTAGATAAGGGGAGCATAACTGCTTACAGTACTCCAGATGTGGTCTCACCAGCACCTTGTACAGCTGCAGTAAGCCTTCCCTACTCTTATAATCCAACCGCCTTGAAATAAGGGCCAAAATTCCATTACCCTTCCTGATTCCCTTCTATCCCTGTGTGCTAGCTTTCTGTGTCTCGTGCTGGAGTGTGTATGTGTGTGTGTGGGTGTGTGTGTATGTGTGTGTGGGTGCGTGTGTGTGTGTGTGTGTATTTTTGAGAGAGTATGAGTCTGCAGGAGTGTGTGTGTGAGTGTGTGTGTGTATATGTGTGTCTGTGTGTGTGTGTGTGTGAGTGTGTGTGTGTGTTTGTGTGTGTGTGTGTATGTGTGTGTGCACGCGGGTGTGTGTATATGTATGTGTGTGTGTGCGTCTGTGTGTGTGTGTGTGTGTGTGCGTGTGCATGTTTTGAGACAGTGTGAGTCTGCAGGAGTGTGAGTATGTGTGTGAGAGAGGGGCTGTGTAAGTGTGCGACAGTGTGTGTGTGTATGTGAGTGTGTGTGTGTATGTGAGTGTGTGTGTGTGAGGGAGTGTGTGTGTGTATGTATGTGTCTGTCTGTGTGTGTGTGTGTGTTGTGTATGTGAGGGAGTGTGTGTGTGTGTATGTATGTGTCTGTGTGTGAGTGTCTGTGTGTGAGTGTGTGTGTATGTGAGTGAATGTGTGTATGTGAGTGTGTGTGTCTGAGGGAGTGTGTGTGTGTGTGTGTGTGTGTGTGTGTGAGAGAGAGAGGGAGTGTACAGTGCGGTGGGGTCACCTGTAGTGCGACACGAACCCAAGATCCCTGTTGAGGCCGTCATGGGTACTGAACCTGGCTATCAGCCTCTGCTCATCCACTGTGCGTTGTCGTGTATCCCGAAGTCCGCCTTGGATCCAACTAGAAAACACACCCACAAACTCAACAGACTGATCAAAACTTTTGATCCAGTCCTTCAAAGTACCCTACACACTCTCATCCTGCGTGCGGGGCTTCTACTGCCTTCTGAAGGTACACAAACACAACACACCTGGATGTCCCATCTAATCAGGCAATGGGACCCTGTGTGAGAACCTCTCTGGCTATGTTGGGGACATCCTGAAACCGACTGAACAGGGAAACCCCAGCTTCTGCCACGACACTACAGATTTCTTACAGAAACTCAGCACCCACGGACCAGTTGAACCAGGAACAATCCTCGTCACAATGGACGTTTTAGCACTCTACACCAGCATCCCCCACGATGATGGTATCACTGAAACAGCCTCAGAATCAATACCACCAACTGCCAATTCCCAGGCGCCATCCTGCAACTCATTCGCCTTATCCTCGACCACAACATCTTAACCTTTGACAACCAGTTCTTCATCCAGACACATGGAACAGCCATGGGGACCAGGTTTACTCCCCAGAATGCCAACATTTTCATGCACAAGTTCAAACAAGACTTCTTTGCTGCACAGGACCTCCGACAAATGTTATACAAATTGATGACATTTTCTTCCTTTGGACTCATGCCGAGGAATCACTGAAACAACTACATAATGATATCAACAAGTTTCATCCCACCATCAGACTTACCATGGATTACTCTTCAGAATCAGTCTCATTCCTGGACACATGTATCTCCATCAGGGACAGACACCTCAATACCTCACTCTACTGGAAGCCTATGGATAACTCATGATGCTGCACTTCTCTAGCTTCCACCTGAAACATTAAAACAGCCATCCCCTACAGACAAACCCTATGCATACACAGGATCTGCGCAAATGAAGGGAAATGCGACAGATACCTGAAGGTTTTGAAGGACACCCTCATAAGGACAGGATACGATACTCAACTCATCAATCGCCAGTTCCGTCATGCCAGAGCGAAAAACTGTAATGACCTCCTCAGAAGACAGACACAGGCTATGACCCATAGAGTATCCTTCGTCATCCATTACTTCCCCGAAGTGGAGAAACTACACCTCGTTCTTCACAGCCCTCAACACATTATCAACAACAATGAGCACCTCACCACGATCTTCCCCACACCCCCATTTCTCAACCGCCAAACCTTAAACAGACCGTTGTTCGCAGCAAACTACCCAGCCTTCAGGACAACAGTGACCACAACACGAGACAACCCTGTCACGGTAATCTCTGCAAGACATGTCAGATCTTCGACATGTACACTACCATCACACGTGGGAATTCTATCCACCACATGTACAGCAGTTACTCATGTGACTCGCCAACTTTGTCTATCTCATATGCTGCAGGCAAGGATGTCCCAAGGCATGGTACATTGGTGAAACCATGCAGACACTATGACAACGGGTGAAAGGACACTGCGCAAAAATCACCGGACAGAAAAGTTCCCTCCCAGGAACACAAGGATACTTGGCCTCGGATCTTCGGTAAACATCCTTTAAGGTGAAGTTCAAGATAGACAACAACACAAAATCACTGAGCACAGGCTGATAGCTAAGTTCCACACCCATAAGGATGGTCTCAATCATGATCATAGGTTCATGACACACTACTTGTGACACCCTCCCACACTATAAACTCCAACCCCCCCCACACACACAGAGACACCCACACACCCACATACTCTCATACAAGCGCACACACACACACTTACATAGACCCTCACTCTCTCTCTCCATCTCTCACTCTCTCACACACACACACACCACACACCACACACACACACACACACACACACACACACACACACTTACATAGACCCTCACTCTCTCTCTCCATCTCTCTCTCTCTCACACACACACACACACTTACATAGACCCTCACTCTCTCTCTCCATCTCTCTCACACTCACACACACTTACATAGACCCTCACTCTCTCTCTCCATCTCTCTCTCTCACACACACACACACGCATATACGCATTCACAGACACACACACAAAATCAAACACAGTCTCTCTCTCTCACACACACACACACACACACACACACTTACATAGACCCTCACTCTCTCTCTCCATCTCTCTCTCTCTCTCTCACACACACACACACACACACTTACATAGACCCTCACTCTCTCTCTCCATCTCTCTCTCACACACACACACACTCACACACACACACACTTACATAGACCCTCACTCTCTCTCTCCATCTCTCTCACTCACACACACACACACACACACAGACACCCACATGTGAATTATTTCATCCAAGATGTTTGTGCTGTTGCAGACACATTCTGTTTTGCTCAAAAAATAAAACCTAGCCCCAGTTAAAACACACAAATTCTAAGCAAGACCTCACACCTAAACTGCATTCTCACCTCTTGTACACTTTGAAAGAACTTTTAATTATCCTGGGACAATGACTTGAAAGGAATCTGGATTTTGCATTTTAATCAACAGTCTCCTTCCTAACTGATTAAAGATTCGACATGAGGCGACAAGTTTTAGGGTCATTTCTGCTTGTAAATTCAGTGTCTTATACCTTCTCTCACACACACTACAGCTGAAGAAGGAGCTGAGCTACGAAAGCTTGCGTTTTCAAATACACCTGTTCGACTATAACCTGGTGTCGTGTGACTTTTTGGCTCTGTGAGGCAGCAGTGCTAACCAGCTAATCTTAACTGCAGATTTGACTTCAAAATTGAATTCAAATTCCACCATGGTAGGGTTTAAACCAAAGACCCCAGAACATTACCTGAACCTCTACAGTAATAGTCTAGCGATATCTCTTAGCCATCATCTCCCCATGAAGGTACTTCAGGAGATATTTGCACTGCTGTCCAAACAGTTGGAGAAAGAAGTTGGTATTAATGATACAAATCACGGAAACCTTTGGAGATTGATCCTGCTAAGGGTTAGTTGGGGTTGGCCTTTGTCCTTTGCCAATCCCATCCAAGGCTAACACAGCAGACTCACCGTCAGCAGATGGACAAGGTCTTTGTTGGCTTCGAATGGTGGTGTGCTCCCTTGGATCTGGATCAGCTCCACAATGCGACTATACAGCTGCTGAAGCTTGTTCAGATTAATCTTCTTATCCTCGATGTAGTCCGGCAGAGCCTCATTCAAGAAGACCAGGTCCTTCAGGTGGACCCCGAGGATGGGGATTTTAAACCCAGTACATTCACTGAAGACCCGGCGATAGTTGCTATAGTTGCTGCAGGAGGACAGAAGCTCCGTCATTTCGTTCAATGTCTGCGTCGAAGAGAGGGAAGGACGTTATCAGGGGAAATGACCAATTATGGCAGAGTTAGGAGCCGTTGACAGAAATCCTCTACTCACAATCTAAAGTGTGGGAGCAGGCCACTTGGCCCATCAACTCTCCAAATAGCATCCCATCCAGATCCACCCTATCCCAGCAACCCTGCATTCCCCACGGCTAACCCATCTACCCTGTACATCCCTGAACACTACAGGCAATTTAGCATGACCAACCCACCCTAACCTGCACATCCTTGGACTGTGGGAGGAAACCGGAGCACCCGGAGGAAACCCACGCAGACACAGGGAGAACGTGCAAACTCCACACAGACAGTTGCCCGAGAGTGGAATCGAACGCAAGTCCCTGGTGCTGTGAGGAAGTAGTGATAACCACTGAGCCACCATGCTGTCCAATGCCACTGCTGCCAATAAAGCATTTCAACTCTCTTCCCTGAAGGCAAAGATACTCAGTATAGTAAGTGTCTAAGGTAATGAGTGAACCTCTGCCCTGTATAGGTGACTGTATATGAAATTAGTGAGGGTGTGTGTACATAATGAAAATCCAGACTTCCATAAAGCTCTTAAATTATTGAAAACAATGCATTGAAGGGAACACGTTGCTTGATTGATGGCTTTATGAATTTTTTTTTTGTCAATGATCGCATGTTTATTTACCTAAGACACAAAGGTGTCAAGTGCTTATAGTTTCAGATACTGATACTTTAGAGATCTAGTTAATTGACAGTTCCATTTGTTAGCTGTGGTCTCAGTTTATTCTTACAGAAAGTTATGAATGGCTTTCTTTTTAAATAATTTTCACACATACCACTGTCACTCTCGGGTTCATTAGTTCTACACAGGGTATATACTGGAGAATCAGCATGGATGTGCCATAAGTTGTCAAAAGGGAATGAGGGACTATTGATGGCTGGTGGGTGGGCATGGGATGACATGTAGGGCATGGGATAAGACCTTTTCAAGTCATCTTTTGAGTGTTTCCCTCATTCAGATTACAGTTCATGATTCCTCTAAGGGACAGGAAACCACAAAGACTTTGCTAAGCTCAATGGACTCCACAAACGTTGTGGAGAGCTAGAGGATAGCCAACTCTCAGAGGCCAGGAGTGAAGGGTAAGGGGATTGCTGCTCCCAAGCCAGCAGAATTTGGGAAGAGCACTGGGAATGCAATCAGGAATCCCAGAATCCATTCTGGTCCACGATGATCCAGCCCAACATTTCAGGCCGCAATTGAAAGGATGACATTAAATCAGCCACAATCTCTCACTGAATGGCAGAGCAGGTCCAGTGGGCTAACTGGCCTGTTTCTGCTCCCAGGTCTAATGACTGTGGAGTCCCTTTCTCCTTGCAGAGATTCTACACAGGACATAGGAACAGGAGTAGGCCAATCAGCCATTCAAATCTGTACCACCATTCAATGATAACATGGCTGATCTGTGGCCTAACTCCATATACCTGCCTTTCACCCATATCCCTTGACAACAAGTTATCCATCTTAGATTTAAAATTAGCAACTGATTCAGCATTCACTGCCATTTATTGAAGAGAGTTCCAAACATCCACCACCCTCTGTGTGTAAAAGTGCTTTCTAACATCTCTCCTGAATGGCCTGGCCCTGATTCTCAGGCTCTGGCCCTGGTTCTAGAATCCCCAACCCGTGGAAACGGTTTATCTACCCTGTCTCTCCCTGCTCTTGGCTGCCGCTTTTTTTCCATTTTCTGTTTCTGTTTCCCAAATCTCCTGCTGCCTCAGCCCTTGGAGATCCACTAGCAACTCCAAGTCAGAGAGAGGCAAAAACAAAGGCCCAACTGGGAGAGAGAGCCACGAGCGAAGGAGACACACCTTGGTGACATCCTGAGAGAGGTAGGAACTGGTTTCTTTGAGCCGGGAAATGGCACTGTGACAGAGACCCCCGATCACCGCCATGAGCGTGTTAAAGTTCTGGAGTAACCGCAGTTTCTGTGAGGGAGGAGAATGTGGTAAGGAACATCAGAAAACCCAAACAGGAGACCTGTGTTTGAAAGAGCCCCCTTGCACCTTCACGTTTTGCCTTTCTTTATTCCGTCTTTGAGCGTAGACACTAAGAGAGGGGATTTTTAAAAAAAACAGCAAAATAAAGTAATAATTGGAAACTGGTCCTCCATTTTGGAGTATACAAGGCGAGGCCAAATTGGTATGTTTTAGTTACCAACTTTGCTGGCTTTTCTTAACTGTCTGGTTGCCATTGTAGAGACCGTCATTCCTTGCCACTGTCCAACTCTCCTTGAATTGAGTGTCTTATTCGACCATTTTGGGGGGCAGTTCAGAGTAAACCACTCTATTGTGGGTCTTGTGTCACATGTAGGTCAGACCGGATAAGGATGGCAGATTTCCTTCCCTAAAGAGCATTAGGGAACTGGATGGATTTTTATGACAATTTGACAATGGTTTCCTGGTTACTGTCAGATTATATTTTCTTATCCAGAATTTAGATTTCACCAGCCACTGCAGTGAGATTCAAACTGATGTTCCCAGGGCCTATTAGCCCAGGCCTCTGTCTGACAACACAAGCGCATTCCACTAAATCACAGAGAATTCCAGGGATTGAATTGAAACACATCATTTTGTCTATTTGGGTTTTTTTTTTAAGATGTGTTCATGGGATGCCCATCCCTAATCTCTTGAATGCATTAGTGGCTTTTTCAGTGAGCACAGGGGGAGGTGATGGCCTACTGGTATTATTGATGGACTGTTAATCCAGAGACCCAGATAATGATTTCTGATGAAGGGTCTAGGTCCGAAACGTCAGCCTTTCTGCTCCTATGATGCTGCTTGGCCTGCTGTGTTCATCCAGCTCTGCACCTTGTTGTCTCGGATTCTCCAGCATCTGCAATTCCTACTATCTCTAATGTTCTGGGAACCTGGGTTCAAATCCTGCCTGGGCAGGAATGGTGGATTTGAATCCAATTTAAAAAGATAAACTAGAATGAAGAATCAAATGATGACCAGGAACCCATTGCCAATTGTTGGGAAAAACCCATCTGGTTCACTAATGTCCTTTAGGGAAGGAAACTGTCATCCTCACCTGGTCTGGCCCACATGTGACTCCAGACCCACAACGATGGGCATCTTAACTGCCCTCTGGGCATTTAGGGATGGTCAATAAATGCTGCCTATCCAGTGATGCCCTCATCCCATGAATGAATTAAAAACAAAGTTATTTCTGTGGGTCTGGAGTCACATGCAGGCCAGGCCAGGGAAGGATGGCTGAGACAGAAAAATGGCCATGAATCAGTGAATGTTAATAAACATGCACGCCAATTATGGTACAAAGGTAAAGCAGCTGAGGGGTACAGAGGCACAGTTCACTGGGAATGACAATAGAGATGAATAATGTCACAAAGGGGAGCAGTAGGGCACAGGAGTTCATTTCCTGTTTGGTACAACTGTAAAGTGGGGAGCTTATCTTGGACTCTGTGTAGAACACAATTGGAGAACTGAGCACATTTCTGCAAAATGCAGGTGAAGGCACAAAAACATTTCACGAGGACGATGCCAGATTACCGAGATTACAAAATCAGTAAGGACGAAACAGACTAGGGATCTTTCAACGTCAAAGCTTAAAGATGGCTTCAAGGAAATACTGCGTGCAGTTCTGGTCTCTCTGCTGTAGGAAGGATGTTGTGAAACTTGAAAGGGTTTCTGGGGTTGGAGGGTTTGAGCTATAGCGAGAGGCTGAATTGACTGGGGCTATTTTCCCTGGAACATCGGAGGCTGAGGGGCGACTTTATAGAGGTTTATAAAATCATGAGGGGCATGGATAGGGTGAATAGCCGAGGTCTTTTTCCCAGGGTAGATGGGTCCAGAACTAGAGGTCATAGGTTTAAGATGAGAGGGGAATGGGGCCTAAGGGGCAACTTTTTCACACAGAGGGTGGTGCGTGTATGGAATGAGCCGCCAGAGGAAGTGGTGGAGGCTGGTACAATTACAACATTTAAAAGGCATCTGGATGGGGATATGAATTAGGAAGGGTTTAGCAGGATCTGGGCCAAATGCTGGCAAATGGAACTGGATTAAGTTAGGATACCTGGTCGGCATCTGTGCTTTGTGACTCTATGACTGTATGAGTCTAGGTCTTTTAAGATTCAGAAAGGATTTAATTGGGTAAATGTAGAGGAAATGTTTCCACAGTGAGGGAGTAGTAGCAAAGTGATGATCCAGAGGCTCAGGCTAATGTCGTAGGGACACATAGGATTCTAACATTCTAAACTTCAACTGCACTCGACCAGGAAGGATGTTCCTGATGACCAGGAAGTCCAGAACCAGGGGGTTGCAGCTTTTTTTCCTTTATTCATTCACGAGATGAGGGCGTTACTGTCTAGACATCTCTAATTGCCCAGAGGGCAGTTAAGAGTCAACCACACTGCTTAAGGACACGGGGACTGAATGACTTTTAGGGCTGAGATGAGGAGAAATGTCTTCTCCCAGAGAGTGGGGGGAGCCTGTGGAATTCTCTGCCACAGAAAGCAGTTAAGGCCAAAATATTGAATGTTTTCAAGAAGGAATTTGATTGATTTCTTAGGGCCAAAGGGAGAAAGCAGGAACAGAGGACTCAGTTGGCTGATCAGCCATGATCATATTGAATGGGGGAGCAGTGTTGAAGGGCCGAATGGGCTCCTATTTTCCATTTTGGTGTTCAAGTTCCACCATGGCTGCTGGCAAAAGTGAAAATTTTCCTCAATCCAATTAAAAACTGGAATTGAACATGGTTGGAGTCAAAAGGTGGCCATTGATTGCTGTAAGAACCCATTCATTCCACCTTTCAGGGAAGGAAATCTGCCATCCTTATCCAGTCTGGCCTATATATGACTCCAGACCCCACTGTGATGTAGCTGACTCTTAACTGCCTTCAGAAATGGCCCAAGGAGCCAATGAGAGATGGTTGATAAATGTTGGCCTTGCCAACGATGCACACATCCCACAAGAGAGTACAAAATAGACTTGTACAACCAATTAGAATGAGGGGCTGTCAATATTAGATGGACGCTGGTAAATCCAGTTGGGAATTCAAGAGAAACTCTTCACCCAGAGAGTGGTTGGGACTGAGCACTTGGAGTGGCTAATTTTCAATTATGATGACATTTTAAAGAGGACGAGGAAGGGGAGTTAGATAAACTGGTGAGGAGGACACTAGAACAATTGGTTGATATGATAAGGTATAGTTATGGGGTGGAGGGAGGGGAGGGGGAGAAGGTAGTGGGGAGGAGCATAAACAAAACCTGGTTTCCCTGCTGTAGGAAGGAAATTACTAAATTGGAGAAGGTTCAGAAGAGATTTACCAGGATGGACGGTTTGAGTTATAGGGAGAGGCTGGATAGGCTGGGACTTTCTTTGCTGGAGTGTAGGAGGCTGAGGGATGACCTTATAGAGGTTTATAAAAAATTGTGAGGGGCGTGGATAGGGTTAGTGGTAAGTATCTTTTCCCTAGGGTAGGGAATTTCAAGGCTACGAGGGCATATTTTTAAGGTGAGGGGAGAAAGATTTAAAAAAGACACAACGGGCAATTTTTTTACACAGGGAGTGGTTCATGTGTGGAATGAACTTCCAGACGAAATGGGAGGATGCAGTTACGTTTAAAAGCTATTTGGATAGATACATGAATGGGAAAGGTTTGGAGGGATATGGGCCAGGGCCAGGCAGATGGGACTAGTTTAGTTTGGGATTGTGGTTGGCATGGACTGGTTGGACCGAAGGGCCTGTTTCCATGCTGTACGGCTCTATGACTCGGTAACCATAGACAGGGTTCAGCAGAATGGGAAGGAGACCAATAAAACAAGAAAAACCTAGCGCCAATATGGGAAAGAAAATACCCCAGAAAATCCCTGTCCTATTTTGCTCAGGCTATTGAAAGCAGTCCAGGAGATTAGTTTGCTCCATCTTGGAGTTCCAAATAATTTGTCAGATCCCAAGACAAAACTAAAGGAGAGGCAGTGCCCCAGACAGTTCGTTGTGTGTGATGAGCTGTGAGATATTAATTGATTCGAATTAGCACAGGGAGTTAAAAAAGAACAATTATTGTCGAAGGTGGGATCATCAGGGAGAATGAGCCCTGCTCCAGCGGGCTTCGCAACGCTGCCTAGCAACCACTTCTTAGGCCCGAATCCTTACCTGGGCAACATGTATGAACTTTGTGAAGACTTCGGCTCTCTGAGCTGCCGTGGGCCTGTTGAGAATCATCAGCTGCACCCACTGGGAGATCCCATTGACCAAGGACACCGAGTGTTCCAGTGCTGGGTTCTCCCTCACACACCCGCTCACAACGTAACTCCTGTAGTCCAGGTACTGAAAGGCAGGGGAGAAAATGTGTTTATTTAGCGCTTTCCACCAATGAGAGCGCCTTCTGGGACCTCGTCACTGTTGCCTGGTTGGGGGAAGCTGCGACCCACTCAATTTGGCACAGAACAGGATCTCAGGATGACAGCTGATGGCGTCTGCTTTTCCCATGAGGCTCGGTGAGGGACGGAGGACGTCAGAGGGGTAAATCGCTTGAAAAGCAGGCCATGGGGTCTTTTACCCTCCCCCACATGCAATGGCGGTCTCACTCGAAAGGTGGACCACTTCTAGTACAGCGCTCCCTCAGTAGGGCCATTGGAACAGATGACCTGAAGTTGGCCTTGGGTCTTAAGGCTTGAGCGTCCCCCCAGACGTTGGTGAATAAATCCAGTGCAACCTGAGCCAGATCCCTCTAATGTTCGCAGTGATTGCGGACTCACTGGTAAAATCTCCCCAGAGGATTTAGAAATGGTAAGGGGGACACCCAAACCACTGGCGCCCAATAAATATCGAATCTCGGCCTTTATCAATCCTCACACTAGTCTGCTCACCGTTAGCTGGCAGAAGGATTTAAACTCCAGGTAGCTGAGGTGTTCCGCCAATTCCGTCGGCTCCAGGTGATCGAAAAGCAGGGAGACTTTCCGCTTCTTGTTGTTGCTGGGGGTGGCATGTTGCGTGTACTTCCATGTCCATTCATGCATGTGTCTGTGTGTGTGTAGAAGAGAAGACTTACAGCTCAGTCATACACGGCATGCCTCTAACTATGTACCCAAAGGTGACACAGCACAGACTCTGACTGAGACTAAGTGGGCTCCTCAACAGTGGTTGGTGCTCACTTAGAGACACGCAGCACAAAAACAGACCCTTCAGACCATCCAGTCCATGCTGACCATATCCTAAACTAAACTAATGCCACCTGCCTGCTGCTGGTCCATATTCCTCCAAACCTTTCCTATTCATGTACTTATCCAAATGTCTTTTAAACGTTGTAACTGTACCTGCATCCACCGCTTCCTCTGGAAGTTCATTCCACACATGAACCACTCCCTGTGTAAAAAAATTGCCCCTCATGTCTTTTTTACATCTTTCTCCTCTCACCTTAAAAATATGCCCCTTGTCTTGAAGTCCCCCACCCTGGGGAAAAGACACCTGCCATTCACCTTATCTATACCCCTCATGATTTTATAAACCTCTGTAAGGTCACCCCTCAGCTTCCTACACTCCAGTGAAAAACGCCCCAGCCTATCCAGCCTCTCCTTATAACTCAAACCTTCCATTCCCGACAACATCCTGGGAAATTTCTTCTGAACCCTCTCCAGCTTAACAATATTCTTCCTATAACAGGGCAACCAGAACTGCATACATTACTCCAGAAGAGGCCTCACCAACGGCCTGTATAACTTCAACATAATGTCCCAACTCCTATACTCAAAGGTCTGAGCAATCAAGACAAGCGTGCTAAACACCTTCTTTACCACCCTGTCTACCTGTGATGAAAATTTCAAAGAATTATGCATCCGACCCCTTAGGTCTCTCTGTTCTACAACACTATCCAAGGCCCTACTTTTAATTGTATAAGTCCTGCCTTTGTTTATTTTACCAAAATGCAATACCTCGCATTTATCCAAATTAAACTCCATCTGCCATTCCTCAGCCCATTGACCTAGCTGATCAAGATCTCTTTGTAATCTCACTTAGCCTCCTTCGCCATCCACTATGCCCCCAATTTTAGTGTGATCCGCAAACTTGCTAACCATGCCTTCTATATTCTCATCCAAATCATTTATACAAATGACAAGCAAAAGTGGACTTTGTCTAAAACTAGGGAGTGATACAGCCACAAGAGGCAACCATTCTGCTCATCATATCTGTGCCAGAACTCTGGAAGATCAACAGCCCCCAATCCCCTGCTATTTCCGTTCCAAGTTTATTTTCATAAAAATGGCTAAGGAATCTGCTTCCTTCGCCCTCTCAGGCTCCTTCCAGATCACAACCAATTGCTGCTTAAGAAACACAATACTGTGCATGCTGAAAATCTGAAATAACGATGGAAAATGCTGGAAACATTTAGAAATGTCTGCCAGACATTTTGAGCTGTGCTAGCAGGGCTTAAATGCTAGTTAGGTCTTTTTCCTTCCTCTAATGCTGCTTGACCAGCTGAGTATTTCCAGCAAATTTTGTTTCCATCCTAACCTTAGCACAACTGCTTTCACACACTTATCTCAGGCTCATCAACCTCTGGGGTCACCTTGCACATTAGGCCGAGAGCCCAAACTCCCATATATCGAAGCCGTGAGCAGATTTATTGACACAGAGATGGAGAAGGTTGACTGATTTACAATGCCACGTTTATGTGATCACTTTTGTCTATGTCTCAATATATATTTGCGTAATGTGAAGAAGAGGTGTCAAGTGTTTACAGTTTCCGCCGTTAAAAGTTTAAAGGACTGGTTGATTGACACTTTTAAGGGGTTGCAGCAACAGCAGATTTTTTTTTGCAGGAAAATGTGGAGTGGGCTTTGTTTTTAAAAGCAGTTCCACACATGCTGCTGTGACTAGAGGATTCATCATTTCTGTCAAGAATGGCAATTGGGCACGGGACTCCTTTTGGAGACTGTGGGGAGCCATTTGCAGTGGGAGAGGGACATAAGTTAGCAAGAGGAGTACATGGAGGTGTGAAGGGGGAGGGTTAAAGAACTTGAAATATCACCAATTTACTGAGACAAAGCACCAGAGAAGTAAGGTAATCCGTTTAGACAGCTACCCTGAGCATTCAGCAGCCCCTGTGGCTGGTTCCAACCTGCTTTCAGGAGCAATGTGTCCAACTACAGCCCAGGCCCAGCGACAGTGTAGAGGGAGCTTTCCTCTGTATCTAACCCCGTGCTGTCCCTGTCCTGGAAGTGATTAATGGGGGACACTGTAGAGGGAGCTTTACTCTGTATCTAACCCCGTGCTGTCCCTGTCCTGGGAGTGTTTGATGGGGGCACAGTGTAGAGGGAGCTTTACTGTGTATCTAACCCTGTGCTGTCCCTACCCTGGGAGTGTTTGATGGGGGACAGTATAGAGTGAGCTTTGCTCTGTATCTAACCCCGTGCTGTCCCTGTCCTGGGAGTGTTTGATGGGGGCACAGTGTAGAGGGAGCTTTACTGTGTATCTAACCCTGTGCTGTCCCTGTCCCTGGGAGTGTTTAATGGGGACAGCGTAGAGACAGCTTTACTGTGTATCTAACCCCGTGCTGTCCCTGTCCTGGGAAAGTTTGATGGGGGGTGGTGTACATCCCAGAAGCAGGATGATGATGATCACTGTTGTGTTGAGTAATTGGCTGAGGGATTGATATTGGTGAGGAACCCACCACTGCTGTTTGAAGACAGATCAGTGAGATCGCGTAGATCTCCCTGAGAATCTAACAGAGCTTTGAAAAAGCAGTGCGCCCTCAGTACCAGCTGGGAAATGTCCGTCTGTAATTCTAGTCGCTGGAGTGGCTCTTGTCACTAGTAAGGCTAGTAGGATGTTGGGAGTTGGGGATCCCTGAGTGTGAAAGAGAAACTGGCCTCACATGTTAGATGTGTCGATGAGCTGACAGTGAGATTCCTCGCCTTCGTTTCGGACTAGCTCCCAGAACTGAGACATCACATCCTCCAATTTGCTGTCCACAGTGAACACGATGGGATAATGTATTATCCAGTACCTGGAGGACAACAGAGTGACTTTGAGAACAGCACAGCATTGGGATCCTTCCCTGCTCAGGCCTGTCCCTCCAGCTCCCCATTGACCGTTGCCACAAGGCCTGCGTTTTCCAAAACACTGTTACAACCAACGAATGCAGCGTAACTTCTACCGTAACCTCAGAAACGCAATTCGCTCCTACAGACCACAGTGTGATTGTAACCAGTTCATCTGTAGGTGGAGGGTTGAGCAGGGAATCAGGAAGGTCTTTGAGCAAGATTGAACTTCTGCCTTCTCCAGTGCTTCCTACCAGCTCCTCTCCTCCTCCCTCCACCCCTCATTGGCCCACAATGGTCAAAAGTTCAACCCCCAACCACACCATCAAGGAGCCATTCTCATTACGTCAATGGATATCAGGTTGGGAGCCATTCTGCTTGGCGTGCTATCCCGGTGACAACTAACCCAATGTACCCATCCACGCCCTGTACCTCAGGGTTCGTTGGTCAGGGACAGGGATGGGGACCCTGGCTGGTTTTCCCATTCCGCGATCATCGGAGAAATACGCGACTCCCGTTATTGGGAGCTCCCAAGGTACGCGGTCATCATTGGGACTCACCAGCAATCACAAACGCACAGCAAGATCCCACAGCCAGCCCACTGGATTTTTTTTGGCGCTGGGGGTTGAGGGGGTAATATCGGGCCAGGTACTTCTTTGAAGAAATGCCATTGGGGAAACCTTTATAGCCCCTCGAGGAGGCAGATGGGTTCGGGTGTTAAGATGGCAACTGCCATCATTATCTCAGCAGCACACTCCCCACCCCCTGACAATGTGCCCCAGCACTGGTGTGGGCTTGTACCCAGAACCTCACACCTCGGAGGGGAGTGTACCTCCAATCGAGCGCACAGCCGTTTAGAACAAGGGTGGTCAAGATGAGGTGAGACGGCGTTGTGCTCAGGACCACCCTGTGATGTATCTAGCCCTGCAGCACTGACCATACTGGGGGATGTATACTTTCCCACTGAACATCAAAACAATCGCCTCACAGCTAGCTCCTACAGGTCCCAGAGATAGCTAGCCATGTGGCTAGCTGAGTTGTTAGAAACAGTAACCATGGATACACCAGTATAACCCCCAAACCTGCAACATCTGAGAATCCAAATAACAAAGACCCCGAACCATTGATTTGCAAGCACATGGTCAGTGTGTACAATTTACCTCACAAAATGGCAGATCTTCACCCGGAGGTGGTCGCGCTTCTCCCCTCCAGCATCTCGGTAAGTGGCAGGGAGTTAAGGATCATGGACAAAGGACATTCAGCCCGACACACTATACTGCTGGCCCATGGGCGCCGACTTCTTCGAATCCTGAGCTTTCCTTCCATTCTCATTGCCGTTGGGTACTTTCTCAGTCCCGCTCTGGATGACGGTTTTGCCTCAGTATCCACGTTGCTTACTATGGAGAGTTTAACAGCACAGAAGCAGGCCATTCAGCCCAACAGGCCTGTACTGTGTCTACAGTCCACACAACCTGGCTCCTGCCTTACTTCATCTAAAGCTATCATTGCACCTGGTGATGGCCAAGAGGTATTATCGCTGGACTCTTCATTCAGAGACCTAGGTTATGTTCTGGGGACCTGGGTTCAAATCCTGCCACAGCAGAGGGTTAAGCTCAAATCCAATAAAAATATGGAATGAAGAGTCTAACAATGACTCTGAATCAATTGTCGGAGAAACCCATCTGGTTCACTAATGCCCTTTAGGGAAGGAAACTGTCATCCTTACCTGGTCTGGCCTACATGTGACTCCAGACCCACAGCAATGTGGTTGACTCTAGGCAATAAGTCATGCCCTCATCCTGTTAATGAATTTTAAAAATATGTCCTTTAGGGAAGGAAATCTGCATCCTTTACCTGGTCTGACCTACATGTGACTCCAGACCCACAGTGATGGAGTTGACTCTTAACTGCCCTCTGAAATGGCTGAGTGAGGCTCTCAGTTCAAGGGTAGTTAGTCCTCAGGGACAGTTATGGTTTGGGGCATTAGGGTTCAAGGGTTTACTTATCTAAATATGGAGTCAAAACTTGCTGTTACTTGACAGAGGGCCTACAGCAGACAAAAGGTCGTGTTATATAGTCATACAGCAAGAAAAGAGACCCTTTGGTGCAACCAGTCCACGCCATGTTCCCAAACTAAACTAGTCCACCTGCCTGTTCCTACACCATATCTCTCCAAACCTTTCCTATTCATGTACGTATCCAAATGTCTTTTAAACGTTGTATCTGTATCTGTACCTGCATTCACTACTTCCTTTGGTAGATCATTCCACATACGAACCACTCTCTGTGTAAAAAAGATAGCCCTCATGTCCTTTCTGCTGACACCTTGAAAATACGCCCTTAGTTTTGAGCTTACCACCCTAGGGAAAAGACCCTTGTCATTCACCTTATCTATGACCCTCATGATTGTTTACATCAAAAGGTCATTCCTCAACCTCCTACACTCCGGTGAAAAAAGCCCTCATTTGATTCCCCTCTGTGATATCTTCTTCAGGAATGATGGCATCTTACGGATTTAAAACAAACATTCATGGCATATAGCTGTATAGACCAGCATTTATAGCCCATTCCTTTTTGCCCAGAGGGCCGTCAACCACATTGCTGTAGTCACAGACCAGGTAAGGATGGCAGTTTCCCTCCCTAAAGGACATTAGTGAACCAGGTAGGTTTTTGTGACAATCGACAATGATGTCAGGGCTATTTTACATTTCTGTTCAAATTTCACCAGATGCTGTAGTAGGATTTTTAACCCATATCCCCAGAACACGAGATAGTAGGAACTGCAGATGCTGGAGAATCTGTGATAACAAGGTGTAGAGCTGGATGAACACAGCAGGCCAAGCAGCATCAGAGGAGCAGGAAGGCTGACGTTTCGGGCCTAGACC